AAAAGAGCCTTTGTGCTAGTTTTCAAGAAAAAGGAACATCGTTTCCAAGTGAGCCTTTGGGCTAGATTTTGAGTAATTATCTCAAACTAAAGAAAGTTGTGTTTAAAACACTTATGAGCTAAAGTATTTTGGGAGTAGTATCGAGCAGCGATTTGGGGACGCGAGTTCATATTAAACTCAACTCTCCATAAGAACCATGTAGCCAACATGGGAGTTAACTGGTCATACTTTTTAGATGAACCCGTAAAGTTAAGCTAGTGGATCCACTTAGTAAAGTTAGCTTCCTATATCACGGCAAGGTATAGGATGGTCCTCGGGCAACGTGAGGTAAAACGTTGTATCACCACTCATACTCGTAGTGGTGGTTTGTCGGTTAGAGAAGTTCCCACAGTAAAAAGAGCTTGGTTCCTCGAGGGTTCTGCTTAGTATGGATGGGGGTATGGGACTTCATTCATACATTGCACAAGTAGACCTTGAGAGGAAGTATGGTATTTTCATGATATTATAAATATGATTTTTACGTCATGTTTTAAGAGTTTTACAGGTTTTATATATTGCATGTGTCTTATTGCTTTATATATAGAGTTCGGTTATACATGAGTTGAACAGAACCAAGGTAAGTGTTCTCTTGTACTCTTTTCAAGCTTAAGTTGTGGTTTAGCTGTCCAGCTCGCATACTCGTACATTCAATGTACTGATGCCAGTTGGCCTGCATCTTATGACGATGCAGACACAGGTACCCCAGATCAGCATCCTGTACGTCGTTGATCCAGCTGAGCACTCCAGAGTCAGTGGTGAGCCTCCTTGCTTTCCGGAGGACTCAAATAATTTGTTTCTTTAGTTTTGTGTTATTAGGATGTTGCGGGGTCTGTCCCAACATCCATCCCAGTATTTTTTAGAGGTTTCATAGACAGTCAGTCAGTCAGTTAGTATTGAGTCTCTCATCTATGTATTTATGTAAATATTCTATTTTGAGACTCGAGCTGCCTTTTGGCATGTTATGCATCAATTGGTTGTTTTATAACCTTTCATTGCATTGAGTTGTACTATTGAGTTAAGTTTCCGCTGAGTTAAGAAAGCTAGGCCAAGGATTCGCTTGGGGCCAGTAATGGTCTCCGATTGCCGGTCCCGCCCAGGGTGTAGTCTCGGGGCGTGACAATATTGATTCAATACCATGATTATTATTTAAACCAAATTAAGTGTCCCAAAATTTACTTTTGCAAACGTGTAGTATATGTATCATATACACCACATTATGTTGTATCATATACACTGAAGACTATTAATGAAGCACACATTAAAACTCTTAAAACTGTATTTGATACAGTTATAATTTTGATATATTTTACCTTAGCAGTGTTGCAGTTCAATTTAAAAGTTTGTTGTGTTATGTTTGTTGATTTACATGATGTATCATATACATTCGTATAATTCAAGTGGCTTATACATAAATGGCCAAGCCAAGGGTTCGCTTGGGGCCAGCAATGGTCTCCGAGTGTCGGTCCCGCCCAGGGTGTAGGCTCGGGGCGTGACAGATCCACTCCAATAAAGACGACTAAACTCCCACATATGATAACACCCACCTAGAATGTGAAACATCGAGTTGAATCATCCTATTGGCTAAAGACTAAATGTCTAAAGCCAAAGGTTGCTTCGAAGCTAAAAGAATGGCTAGACTACTCATACTCACCGCCTTTCTACTCAAGGCATCCTCTACTACGTTCTCCTTGCCCGGATGGTATAGAATATAGAGGTCATAGTCCTTCAAGAGCTCAATCCACTTGCACACATATGCAAAATGGAAATCACAACTCTTGAGCTCGAATTTTCTCCAATCACTTAGAGTTGTTGGGATATTCTAGGAGAGGATTTATGGAAGTTAGTAGTGGCTTTCTTTTGAGGAAATTCATTACCGAAATCCATTACTCATACTAAGCTTGTGTTATTACCTAAGAAGAATGATATTCAATCCTTTTCTGATCTAAGACCTATCAGCCTGAGTAATTTTGTCAACAAGGTGATTTCTAGAGTTGTGCATGATAGATTAAAGATGGTGTTGCCAAGGCTAATCTCTTCTAATCAATCAGGGTTTGTGAAGGGGAGGAACATCATTGAGAATGTATTACTCACTCAAGATATTGTTACAGATATTACTAAGAGGGGAAAACCAACTAATACAATTATTAAGCTTGATATGATGAAGGCTTATGATAGAGTCTCTTGGTTTTACTTGATGAAAGTAATTAGGAAGTTGGGATTCTCTGAAGAATTTGTGGATATCATCTGGAAGTTTATAGCTAATAATTGGTATTCAATCATAATAAATGGACATGCTCATGGATTCTTTCATTCCATGAGGGGAGTGAAACAAGGAGACCCTTTATCTCCTGCTTTGTTTATTCTTAGTGCTGAGGTTCTCACTAGAGCTTTGAATCCTTGTTTGATGATGTACAGTATCTGGGTTACAACATGCCTAAATGGAGTACAAATTTGAATCATCTGGCTTATGCAGATGATACTATTATTTTTGCTGCAGCTCACGAAAGGTCTCTCAAAAAGATAATGAAGGTGTTGAGTAGGTATGAAACGCAATCTGGTCGGTTGATTAATAAAGGAAAAAGTTCCTCGTATATGCATCAAAACACTAGTGCCCAACTAGGTGTTTTAGTTGATAATTGTACAAGTATTTCAAAAGGCCAATTTCCTTTTACCTACTTAGGGTGTCCTATCACTCATGGCAAAAAGAGAAAGAGGGATTATGCAGAACTCATCAAGAAGGTCAAAGATAGATTGCAAACATGGAAAGGAAAAATGCTTGCTTTTGGTGGCAAAGCAACTTTGATTAGTAGTGTTCTACAAAGCATTCCTATCCACATCTTATCGGCAATTGTTCCCCCTATGTGTGTGATAAATGAGTTACACAAGATTTTTCTAACTTCTTCTAGAACAGCAAAGAAACGGGAAGAAGTAAACACCGGTCTACTTGGCTAAGTGTTTGTTTGCCTAAAGAAGAAAAGGATTCAAATTGTTGTTTGATGCCTCCACGGCAATGTTTGCAAAATTATGGTGGAAATTCAGAACTAGTAATTCTATTTGTGCAAGTTTTATGTGGAATAAATACTGTAAGAAAGAAATTCCCACTCTGGTAAATTGGAAAGGGGGTTCACAGGTGTGGAAGATGATGTTGAAAAATCGAGATATCTTAGAGAATAACCTATGGTGGGAACCAAGAGGAGGCTCCACTAACATTTGGTATGAAAATTGGACCAAACTTGGTCCTTTACATCAAGACCCTGAATGCTAGATTAGACATGAAATGAAGGACCTATCAGAGGTGATGAATGAAGAAGGTTGGGACTTTAAAAATCTACAACAATTATTGCCTGGGAGAATTGTTAATCACATTCAGGAACAATTGGGAAATTTTGATTCCAGTAACCTATGTGACAGAACATGGTGGTTACTTAATAGCACAGGTAAGTTCAAAGTAAGCACTGCTTGGGATCTGCTGAGAGACAAAAAAAGAAAGAAGATCTTTAGTTTAAACTTATTTGGGTGAAAGGTTTGCCATTTAAAATGAATTTTTTAACTTGGAGAATTTGGGGGAACAAACTACCGGTGGCCTCAAATTGTAGAAGTACCGTAAAATTGGAGGTCAAGCTAAAGTCATAGAATCGTGAAATGGAGTCCCCCTCCTTCTGGTTGGTATATATGCAACACTGATGGTTCATCAAAAGGTAACCCTGGCACTAGTTCTGCTGCTTTTTGTGTGAGAAATAGTGAAGGAAATATTATAGGGGTAAAGGGAAAGGGACTGCCAGTCTACTAATTTAGTTGCAGAAGCTGTTGCAATCAAAGATGGTATTCAATATTGTATTGAGAGAAATCTGATCCCTCTAATAGTAGAAACTGATTCGCTCACTATGCAAAATATCCTGGAGAAAAATTGGGAGGTACCTTGAAGTGTTGTTATGGAGGTGGAGGTAATAAAGAGAATGAGAGAAGAAGTCCCTACTCAAATAAAACACACTCTAAGGGAAGACAATTTCTTGGCTGACTTTTTTGCTAACCTAACTGTTAATTTTGCAGGGACTTTTACGGTGCATAATTTTCAAGATATGCCTGTTGCAGCAAAAAAAAATCTTAAATTTGGATAAGTTAAGTATGCCTCATTTGAGGCTTACTCAACTTAATAACAAATAGCTTCTAATTTGGAGTAATGAATCTCTTTCTTGGCTCTGGGTTAAAGCATGAGAAGGTATCTTACTTAATCTATTGCCTGAAATGATTTCAAACAGTCTCTTTACTATGCCACCTGGTGATATTTTAAGGTGTACAACGGGAAGAGACTACGACATAAGCATTTAGGTGAAGTTATTCTTTAATGTTTTAAAAGCGGAAGTTTCTGATCGGCTGATCGCTTATTCAACAGTCAGTATTGACATCTCGTCTTTGATATTTTACTAAACATAGAGCCAGATTTCTCCCATTGATGTGTGGTATTGATCTCTATGAGATTCAGTCTATCATGAGAAAAAGAAGGTGAATGTTAAGTGGATTATTTAGGGACTGGATGTCGATTAATTTCTTGGTAAACTAGTCGGTTTGTTTTAAGTTGTCTTTTGAGTTTCCTTTCCGATAAGTGGTATTAGCCGCTTCGAGACTCAGCCTATCGGAATTTAAAGTCTACTATCTACTAAGTACTACTTTGGTGATTTAGAGAGCAAAGAGGCACAAATCATCAATGGCGAAAGGAAATGGAAAGATGAAGAGAATGAAGTTCCAATAGCTCAGTTGCATATGATAAAAAGTTGCAGGTCTAGAGATACAACACCCAAAGATGGAGCTAATGAAAACTTACCTCGGAGTTCACCGGAAAAGACGACATGGAGCTTTGCCGGAGCAGAGTCGAGCCAATTCCTTTCCAGATGCAATGAGAATGCTCTTTTTCATTTGCTTTTCATTCTGATTTTGTCTTTTATTTCTTTTTTGATGGCTCATCTTCTTTTAGGAAATGAGCCATATGGGCACTTTTTATTATTTGTACAAATTATTGTTTTATAATAACTGGGCACCAAGCTCACTTTTAATCAAAAAATAAGGTACGAAATGCTCAATACATGTCTAGTTCAGATATTCAATCTAAGAAATTATGTTTCACAACGGTATTCACGATCGTACATTTAATATGCATTCCAAAAATCCCACTGTAGACAATTTTAGAAAAGATGTAGGCCAAACACATATACCGCCCTTCAAACTTGCTCTCATTTTTCATTTTGGCACTCCAACTTAGCCTTGTTCTATTTTAACCCTTAAACTCCATTTTTTCTGTACCATTTAAACACTTATACTAATTTTTATGATTTGTTTTTATTTATGTTCTTCAATTGCAATTTCTTATTTTAAAAAAATAGACGTGTGCCTGTTAATTAAAAAAATTAAACATTCGCGAACGAACATAAAATTGTTCAAACAATAATATTATTTTTTGATATTTCTCTGTATTTTTGAATGAGGTTTATGAAAAGATGAGAGGAGATAGGGAGAAAGTGGAGTGGAGAAAGTTGATATGGTCCAACTATGGTGCACCAAAGTGGTTGTTCATACTGTATTTAGCTCTAAATAGGAGGTTGTCAACGAAAGATAGAATGGCAAAATGGGGAGTAACATCTAATTTGACATGTCCCTTATGTCAAGTGGAGGATGAGGATATCGATCACCTTTTTTTTGCATGCATGTTCACTGCTGGAATATGGAAGAAGCTGCTAGCTTGGCAAGGAATACAACGTACAGGAGGGAAGTGGCATGAAGAAGTACAATGGGTAACAACACATATGAAGAGCAACACTAGCAAAGCCAATGTGTATAGGATGGTTATGGCAGGAACCATCTATCATGTGTGGATAGAGCGCAACAACAGAATCTTTCAGTTCAAACAGAGAAATGAGGAGTTCATGATTAGACACATCATTAGAGATGTACATGGAAGAGGAACCCATTATGGGAAGATAGGCAACAGACTTCAAGAACTCAATGTATACCCTTAGGAGAGAAGCTGTGAGAGAAGGCTGATGGATAGAGTGTGATGTTTCAGCAAGTCTTGGAGCATGTATGTCCAAGTCTGCTGTTTTTTTTCCAGTTTGTAATGATCACTTTGGTAAATAAAATTTTAATTACCAAAAAAAAACATTACTAGCAAAAAACCTAGATAAGGGTTTTATTCGACCAAGTATCTCACCTTGGGGCGCTCTAGTCTTATTTGTGAGAAAGAAAGATGTCTCCCTTAGGATGTGTATAGATTACCGCCAGTTGAACGAGGTTACCATCAAGAATAAGTATCCTCTTCTGATAATTGATGATCTTTTCGATCAACTTCAGGGTTTCATTGCTAATAACACTACTAAATAATGTTAAAACTTGACTGACTTTGTTAGGTTGTCGATGATTTTAAAGAAAGAAAACCAACATAATTTCGTCGGATATTTTTCACACAAAAATACATAACACTCTTAAAAAGAAATTATTATTTTTTAAAAAGATTTATTTTTTGTTAATTTTTAATTTTTTAACTAAATAAAATGACACATGTCGATTTAAAATAAGAAGTTGCAATTGAAGAATATATATAAAAATAAATAAATCATAAAAATAGTATTTCGTGTTAAAATGGAACATAAAAAATGGAGTTTAAGGGTTAAAATGGAACAAGACAAAGATAAAGTGCCAAAATGAAAAATGTGAACAAGTTAGAGGTGTTGTATATGTGTTTGGCCAAAGATGTATAATAGAGTATTTTTGGTAATGTCTATTTACCCTACACGATACTTCTTTCAATAAAAAATGATTTGATACACTCGTTAAAATAATTAATCTCTTTACTCAATTTATGTGTCACGGTTTGGATTTTAAGAGTCCAATAATTTAATTTGGATCGTGAATTCGGGTATGAAATCTAATTTTTTTGAAATAAAATTTACATATTTCAACACTATGTAAAAAGTAGTATAAGTCACAATAATCAACATATATTTATAAAATATACGAAAAAATTACGAAAGTTTTATTTGAATCTTGAAATCTGAAAGGCGTCACATAAATTAGAACTAATAGAGTAATAATAATCATAATATATAATTTACTAAATCACCTCTATTAAATAAATCTTCTTGAAAATTAAATATTATTCCCTCAATCTTATTTTATATGACACCATTTAACTTGACATGATGTTTAACAAAGAAAAAAAAAAGAACTTTTAAAACTTGTGATCTAAAACAATTCTTAAATTTTTGTAAATCATAAATCACTTCATCAAAGATAAATGAAAAAATTTAAAGTTAAAACTTTTCTAATTATATTAAAGTGACATTCTTTTTCTGACGAAGTAAAAAAAATCATTGCATGAAATGAGACAAAGAAAATACTAAAAAGTGAAACATAAAAATATACAACTACTTATTTTGAATTCCTAAAATAACACTTTGTTTTAATGCAATTTTTTTCTATTGTGATAATACTTATGAAACTGAGTTAGTATTAATCTATTACCATGCACTTTCACTTATAACATGGCCGGTTCAAGTAACTCATATTCAACACTCAACGAACTATTTCTACTGTTTCATATTAATTGATTCTATATAAATAAATGTTTTATTTTATTTATTTGTTTATTTTATCAAATTAAAAAAATTATTACAATTTTTTTTTGTACAATCTTTAATATTAAATAACTATATAAACTGATAGAATTTAAATTTTAAATTTCTAAAATATTGATAATAGAATTAATTTAATAAAATACATATCTAATTAAGATTTTGTTTTTCTATTTTAATAGGACTCCTCAATATCTGGTTTGAATTTTGATACTCCCTCTGTCCCTAATTACTTGTCCATATTTCCTTTTTTTTGTTGTCCCTAATTATTGTCCATTTTGACAAATCAATAAAGGACAGTTTTTTTTAACCTATTATACCCTCAATTAATTACTTTGAAAAAGGTAGAACTTCTTGAAAATCCTAAGTTTTTAATTCATCTACTTCATAATTAATAGGGGTAAAATGGTAAACTCACTATGTCAATTAATGTTTTCTTAATAGGTGTGTCAATTCAAAAATGGACAAGTAATTCCTGTGTGAAACTCATGGATTCATTCCCCCAAGGCTTTGTCCAAGTCTACCATGTGATGCATATGATAGTTTGGAGTTCTTCCAAAAAATGTGAGAAGGATAATTGATATATTTATACAAAAAAAATGAGAAATATCAATGTAACACGACTTTTCAATGAAGGGCTACTTGCAAAATTTATTTAAGGGCTTCTAATTTTTTTTAAATACACTACAAACCAACACTCACTTAGAGGACGTTTGATAGAGTTGTAGACATCAAAAATTTGTAAGCAGAGATGAGCTCAATTTCAGTTAGGATTTTCAGAGATTATCTTAAATCCTAGGTCACGTCTATGTAAAGAATAATATATTCTTTTGAATAGTCATCTCAAAATTTTATGAACTTCTAGATATGCATAAAGAGATCAAGGAACAATATATTGTCTTTCTCAAAGTCATTGTCCAACGTTCTTAGCAGTCCAAATCATCCCATTTGAGAAATATGTTATTAACATCCCTCGAATTATGGAGAATATTTAGGGTAGAACAATCAAAGAAAGAAACAAAATTGTACTTGCACATGCAGAGATTAATTTCAACATAAGGAGCAATATATTGTCTTTCTCAAAGTCATTGTCCGATGTTCTTAGCAGTACAAATCATCCCATTTGAGAAATATGCTATTAACATCCCTCGAATTATGGAGAATATTTAGGATAGAAGAATCAAAGACACAAACAAAATTGTACTCGCACATACAGAGATTAATAAAATTATGTTTCTTCAAATAAGTAAAAATATTGAATAAGTAGTATTTTATCTCAACTTTCAACAAAAAGATATATATTTTATCTCGATTTTAAGTTTCTATATATTAAATATTTTCACATTATTTTATATTATTAAGTACCAATTTATTTTTTTATTAAAAAAATAATGTAAAATTTTTAAGATATAAAATGTACTTAAAGAGGAACATGATAACTCACCATGTATGTAAAAGTTAAAATTATGTTGGTATTGATACACGAAAACACACTCTAGACACTAAGATAAAGGAAAAACGAACTACGTTACAGTAAAATCTCACTAAAATAATACGTGATAAATTAATAGTCTCTCTAAGATAATATTTTTCTTTGGTCCCGACTTAGGCCAACGTAAAAAAAATGACCAATTTAATTTGATTAGATAATAATATAATATATTTTCAGAAGACCCCTATATAAATATATGGTCCCATTAATATTATAAATTAATAATTCATTAAGAGTACAACTAAATATAAGACAATATGATTCTATTGTGTTTTATTTTTCTAATTTAAATCTAGTTGAAGCTCATCTCTAACTTTTTTAATTGCATCCAAATGTTCTGGTGTTGCCACAACTACAATTTTTTTAGTGCATGTAGAATGATCTCTTTTGTACTCACATAATACTTTATGTACTTGATCTGTCATTGCTGATATTTTGACACATTGTCATGACCCAACTCACTTGGTTGTGCGGTTACCTACTCTAACACCTATATAGGAGAACCCTTACCACCCAACTTTAAAAACAGATAATGCGAAGCTTAAATAAACTTAAGAAAACTATTTAATATTTTTAAATAACATGATACTCTAATATATGAGTCATTCTTTTACAATTACCCGAAACACTCTCTGAAGAAACTAGTCTAAATAGGTACAAGAGCTACTAAGAGAGTGAAATGTATAAAGGAAATAAGATACAATTCCCACCATAAGGAAAAAAATGTAGAAGTTGCCAAATGGCATAACAAGAATAGTATCAGTACAAACAACACGTACTGGTAGGCATCATCAGTTGAGCCGAATCCACCACATAATATCATACACATAATTAAGAGTAGGAAAATAAAACAACACTGTTGGAACTCACACATGTCACAACAAGTCACCCACCTTCTTCCGCTGTCAACTCCAACCTCTAAGTCATTCCATCCTCACATCATATCATAACTTACCCCCCTAATTGTTACTTCAAATGTTATTAATCCTGTTACTTAAATTACTATTCCCACTCAAGCTTTCATGCCAACTCCGTACCTTAAGACACTCTAATTGTATGAAAATATGAACAAATAACTCCCATTAGCAAAACAGAGATATAAAAGTATAACCAAGATTATAAAATAGCATGTTCTTCCAATCCTCAACATGTAACACCTCGGTCTTACAAAGAGTATATCACGAACCGAGCCTACACCCTGGACGTGGCCGGCACTCGAAGACCATTGCTGGTCCCCAAGCGAACCCTCATCCTGGCTGACTACAAGCGGAAGACAAACTTAAGCATGCAAAAGCTTAAAACTGAAGAAAATTCAATAAACTCAACTTTTCAAAACTTTAACTCAAATGAACAACTTAGAATAAAAATAATATATTCAACTCGCCATAAAATAGACACTTAAGTCTTTAACACATTTAATAAATAAATGAATAATACATACTTCTCAACTATACAGACTATCTATGAAGCCTCTAACTGATAACGATGGAAGTCGGGACAAGACCCACGACATCCTGACTGAACTGAAAAGTAAATGAAATCCTTTGGAAGCAAGGAGGCTCACCATAGCTAACTCGAACTCTCGGATGTATCAATGAAGCTCCTGTTGATTATCCTGAATACCTGTGTCTGCATTATGAGAAGATGCAGGCAAAATGGCTCAGTACGTGGAATGTACAAGCATGTAAGAGGTATCCTAAAGCATAACATAAGCTTGAAACTTGATAAAAATGAAACATACTTACCTCTTTTCAATTTGCTCAACTCAAGGAATACTCAAGGATACTCAAAACTACTCAAACTTACTCAACTCAGAAGTACTCAAGGATAAGATACTCAACTTCAAAGATATGATACTCGACTTGAAATACTCAACTCATGAATACTTAACTGAACT